TAATAATCATTCCAACTGTCTATCTGGATTTGAACGTTTTGGAATTAGATAATACACATCTGTTTGTAACTGCACAGTTCTTCTCCAAATATTTTGGTGTAATTTTGCCCACACCACTTTAGCTTTTTTTTAACTGTGGACATGTGATTCTGCCTGCCTTTTAATTCTTTCAACCATCTGGCCAAACTAATTCCTTTTTTCTGACATCACTACTCACTGATGCACTGAGTCCCTACTAGCCCTGCCTAGCTGGTCCTATGTATGAAATACTTTTTGAAAATGCTATCTTAAAAGTCCTAAGCATTAGCTTCTTGTCTAACCACCTACATTTGACTTCTTCCAAGATCTCTCAATTAAATTCTGCTGGAAATCATAATCACTTATTTTTCATCAATTATACATGTGATGTTCACCAAATGAGGAAATTACCCTTGTAATCATATTCACCAGAAACTTCTAAGTTTCTAATTATCACTTCAAGGCTAGATCTTTCCCCCCACCACTTTTAGCTAATACTAATCTATTTATTCATCACACAAATAAAGCTTGCCAAGGGATTACTTTTCAAAAACTCACAACGACATTACCTTCAGCAATGACCTGTCTTTGGTTAATTTTTTAAAGTTATTAATTTTTATTTTTAATATAGTGAAATGCAAACAATACTACAAAAGAATACAGTAGTGATTATAAACTTTAAAATATACGACATATATTGCAATGATTAAAATAAACTAAAAGTAACACAAAGAGAATTTTTTTAAAAAATCCATATAATATCCATTTAGTATCAATGTGGGATTAATTCAGTCCTTGTCCTTTAAGCTTGTCTTTAAATCTAGACCTTATAAATCATATTGCTTCACCTTTTCATTTTTAGAAAATAAAGACTTCTCAAAAACAGATCACAGACTATATCCTGAATCTATTCCATTATATCAGGAGGATAAGTTTCTTTCCCACTGAAGTAAGAATATCTTCTTTACCAAGGCCCAAACTCAGTAATGCCAAAGCTCTTCATAAAACAACAAATTCCATCTTTTAGAAATATAATTTAATATCACATGTCTTTAACTATTACATTTCTTTCCAAAATTATACTAACATATTCTATGATTTGAAACCAAAATGAAGCTATAGCTGGACAAAACCAACTCATGTTAATGTTGATTAAAGTTACTTGTAAGCATTTAATCTCTTCTGCAGTTTGTTCTTTCAGGAATTCAAGCTCAGTTTTTCCCCTCCCAGGCAGAACCAATTTTTTTTTGCACTTTTTATATTAAAGCTTCTCACAAGCAGTTTTAAAACTCTTGTATTTGGGATTTAATTGTTCAGGAGTATAAAAAAGGTCACTTAATCTCTTTAAGGTTCAAACCTTAACACAGTACACCCTGGCGTTGTTTTAAATAATATAGTATATGTTCATTCTCTTTGCAGAGGTGCCTAACTCACATAGCTTTAATCTACTTCTTTAAGGCTTTGCCATTATGCTGTCACATTTCATAGTTTAGGCGAGTCAGCTGCTTATTTTAATTTCTAAATGATTTATTACACATGCCAATCATTTTTAGTTCTTTCACATCTTATCCTAAGGTAATTTAACTTAGGTATATAGAAATAAGGTTACTCAAAATTGTGTAAACTAACAAAATATTTATAGTAATCCTGCATATTAAATATTTGATGCTGTGTACAACTGGCAGAAGAGAGTCTGCTCTCACCTGACAGTTTTCTTGGACTCTCTCTGGTTTTGTAGATTTTGGAATGGTGACTATGCCATTCTAGAAGAAAAAATAAAATCAATTATTAATAGAAGCAAAGACCTAATTTAAAATACACATACACACACACAAAAGGAAAGAGAAATAATTTAGGATGATCTCTATTTTCAGTGAGTTAACAGTAGTGTAATTTGTCAATAAATCATATCCTTATGATGTGTTACATGCAAACTTAGTCACAAAACAAGCCTCTCCTTGATAGGTTATACTTCTATGTACAGGCACATATTTTTGTAGAAAACATTCTGTCATTTGAGTTCCCATCTGCAATTTCAATAAACAGAGCCAAATACCTAAGCTTACTACCTCATTACTCTTTGAAAGAATTAGGCCCTAAGGATTTATATGCAAAGATTCAGATAGTCACTTTGGTGGGTGTTATGTATCATAATTTAATGCTGTAAAAACTTGTAGATGGATATATATCTTCAAGAAACACTGGTGCTATGATAGTTGAGGTATCCAATTGTAAGGACTATAAATTTTCATGGCTGCTTATTCATGCTTTCTCAGCTTTCCTAAAGTCCTGTCTCCACCTGGGACATTTTATGATTTCTGGGAAGGAACCCCAAATGAAGTTTCACCAGAATCTGAGTTATTTTCACTTCACCGACATCCTAAAATGAGATTAATTCATGTAACAGATTTACTTCTGAATGCTATTATATAACTATTTACAACATATAAATACCATATTTTCTTGAAAACTTACATACTACTACAGATATATCTTTTAACCAGAACATACTACAACCATATCTGTTCAGATTCATGAACACATCACAAGGGACTCAAAAGTAACAGATTTAAAATAAGGCCATTTCTCAGACTACACCAGTGAAATGCAGAATGGAAAATGAAAAACTCCAGACCTATTCCTCATAATTATTTACTACAACAGAGCTGAGACAAAATTATTTTTAAACAGTTTCAGATACTGCTCTACTTTCAGCTTCTGGGTACTGAGAAATCAGCTGTTCAGTGGACTTACGACACTAAGAGACAAGTATTATTGCTTGGGAAGTTTTATGTAGCTAGACAGGAAATGTATTCTCTTACATTTTGTGAATAATTGTTTAATGGAGGTGAAAGTTCAGGACTTACCTGGATGCTCCAACGAATACAGATTTGTGCAGGAGTTCTGCCATATTTCTTTGCAAGCTGAACAATGTTAGGATGAATAAGGGCTTCACCTTTAGCTAGTGGACAGTAGCCTTCAAAAACAATATTCCTGCTTTGGCAATACTCCACTAGCTCTTGAGGCCTTTGGAAAGGATGATATTCTACCTTTTTTTAAAAAAAAAAAAAAGAAGAAAAATTGCTTCAAAGCGCTTGTCAGTTTATAAGTTATTACAACATAAAGGTCAAGTTACTGAATGTAGCTACAGGTTTGGCATAACACTATCATGACAATAAAAACTTATTAACTTTTTTCCTTCCAAAAGCCAGGAAAAATTCCCTTGTGAGGAAACATGTAATTCTGAAAAAATGGGACAATGGTTACCAGCATCCTCAGAATGTATAAAAGAAACTATTAGTTCATAAACTCTGTACAGTAATCTACGTAACTGCTTCCTGGATAAATCAGAACCCTAGACAGCAGTCATAACATAACTGCATCAATTATATCCTCTCCTCTTCCAGGATAGGACTCATGTTCTTATCTTCACTGACTGGAGCCTAGGTATTGTTCTCTAGAAAGTATAGCTATACATGATGATAATGGAAAGAAATCCTAAAGCTATCCTTCTTCCTCTCATGTTTGCAATTGTCCTATCTTTCTAGACCTACATGGAACATGCAAAATAGTCCAACACATTCTCAACTCAAACATGCTCAGGAAGCCTGAACACTAATGTTTCCATTAGAATCCTCCACTAGATTAGTTTTTCATTATTCAACCAATAGGTGAAATGAAGAATCCCTAGAGGCTGGTGAAATAGAACAAAGTGAATCCAGCTTAAATGATAGCCAGCTTAAGAAATACAAGACACTCACAAATACAATACATTTCTTTGTTATACAGAAGAAAATACAGACACCTCCTATAACCATTGCTGATAAAGGGACTGGAAACGATGCCAGAAGCCACTCTTCCTATTGTGTTTTACTTCTCAGTTTTCATTTTAAGACACAGTATACATATCTCAGTTATTCAAGCTCTTCAAATTTCACTAGTATTCAAGTTCCAGGCTAGCTTCTATGCAAATTTTTAATAAATGAGACTTCTTGGCATGCTTAGTGTTAGAAAGACAATGAAAAAAAAAATGCCAGGGTTTCACAAAGGTATACCAGATGTTCCATGGTGTGGATATGAAAATAAAAATATTTTATTTAAAAATAATTGACATTTCAAAGATTGCCAAATTCTGGGAGATTTTGAAATCTCATTTGGTTGATATTCTCAATTGTTAAGAAATTTGAACCTTAAAAAAATAGATTAATTTTTATTTAACTTGGTGATCGTACAGTTGCAAAACATAGCATTGCCAACATCTGTCTATGTGGCATTCCACAAAAGCTTTTAGTTATGATATAGTGTTCCACATAACAGAAAAGGTTGGAAGGCATTGATTTCAAAGATACATCTATGGTGAAATCTCCTTAGTAAAGGTAAATATGCATTGTGAATACTTCTCTTGTTTAGTGCAGAGTTTAATCTTGCGTAGATAGTAGTTAAGTAGTGATAGAAATATGGCACATTTTCTGGGCAGTACTGGAATGGAGAGATGCTTAGATACATCATAGGCCAAGGAAAGGTGAAAATATTTTTAATAAAAAAATTAATATACAGCTTGACTTTCTTGGACAAGTCATACTATGTTTGTGTTTTCTCCGTAACATTACTTAGTGGTTTACAGGTCCACTGAAGAGCTTCCTGTTTCTCAAAATCCGTATTCATCCTGGAGAGTGATCCAAGAAAAATATGAGCAAAGAAGATGATAGAATACCACAGAAATAGGTAAGACAAACAGGAAATAAATACATGATGAACATGAGTTTACTGATACAGTGCCCCAAGTTCTTCACAAGTAATAATTATGTGGTAAAACCTGGAAAAAGGTGAATTATCCTGGTATTATCTCTCCCTGTAATTTTAGCACAGAAGACTGAAAAAACAAAATCTTGACACAATGCCTGCACAGAAAAAGCTACTTCCCAATACATACAAAACACAACAGAATTTCTGTGATAGAGCTAGTTCATAGAGAGCAATCCCAAACTGCCATCAATCTTCTTCCAATGACCTAAATGTCTGTGTATTTTTATGATGAAGCAGCAGCAGCAGTAGCAGTAGCAGTAGCAGCAGCAGCAAGAGTATCATAGTTTAGCACAAATGACATCAACATGAGGAATATGGAAATTTTCATCCACCCTGAGAAGGATGAAGGGCTGTTTCCTGTTTCCCATCTTTAGGACATGTTGTCTATTCAGGCAACAATAGCCAGAAACAATAGGCTGGCATCTGCTCAATACTGGCTCTGAGAAACGCAGGCACTCCAATGGTAGGCTTAGTCAGCCTAAACCTACTGTGATCAAAAATGACTGCTTGGATGGGAAACAAGGTTCAAGCAGCAGACACATCCATTTCTTCAACCTTTGAAGTTTCTTGACCTCTCTGTGGCCTTCTCCACCACATGCTTACAGTTGCAGAGAAACTGTACAGAAACATTCATTTGCTCATCTGCTTGTACCCAAACAGGCTACAACAGAGACCATTTCCAGTACTTACACTGGAGTTCTTTGAGGAAGAGGGGAGAGGCAAGACATCTGGGTGTATCTTTCCATTTCACAGAATCCCTAAACTCTAGAGAATGATCACTGGAAATTTATGGGAGGGAAAAAACATTGGGAAAGAAAAGGTCAATCCAAAAATGATCTGCCTAATTGGAACATTTTGCCTCTAAAGAAAAACTGAATTGTTTGCACACAATAGTAATTTATAAAATTACCTGAATTATGAAAAAAGATTAAGCCATTTTCTCTCTTTTTCTAGTATTATGAATTTCAGTGGACGTTCTTGAGTACCAGACTATTATGAATGAGTTTTTCCCTTAAGACTAACTAATGAAATGAGAAAGATTTTGCAAGAATTCTTCATTTAGGATCATCCAATGAAAAAGACAGAAAGTTCAGAGTAGATTTTTAAAAATGCCATTTCACTGGATTTGGAAATAAAACTTTTGTAAAACAGTGAGGGTCATGTTAGTTCAGCCATCAATCCTGATGAAAACAGCATTGGTCGCGCTTTTGGATGATCTCTGGCATGGGTGGGATGGTGTTAGTGTGTCCATCCTTGCCTCACTTGACTTCTTGGCAGCTTTCAATACCATCAACCATGGTATCCTTCTGGATCGACTCAGAGGAGTGGGGGTAGGTGGCACAGTGTTGTGCTGGTTCACCTCCTTTCTCCAGAGTCAATTCCAGTTGGTGGCGATTGGGGAAGAGAGATCCCACCCTCGGCCCCTACTGTGTGGGGTGCCACAGGGTCAGTGCTCTCTCCTCTCCTATTCAACATCTACATGAGACCTCTGGGTGAGCTCATTTGTTGCCACAGGGTGAGGTATCATCAATACACTGATTGTACCCAATTGTACATCTTCGCTCCTGGCGATTTAAGTGATGCTATGGATGTCTTACCTGGGTGTACGGAGGCTATGAGGGTCTGGATGGGGAACAACAGGCTTCCAGTGAATGCTGGCAAGACTGCATGGCCTGGGGTTCTGAGGCCCTCCAGTTTGGGATTATACCATTGCTGGTACTGGATGGGGTTGCACTGCCCCAAACAGACCTTGTGCACAACCTACCCCGATTCCAGTTGGTGGCGATTGGGGAAGAGAGATCCCACCCTCGGCCCCTACTGTGTGGGGTGCCACAGGGGTCAGTGCTCTCTCCTCTCCTAATCAACATCTACATGAGACCTCTGGGTGAGCTTCCTGGACTCACAACTCCTGCTCAATGAGCAGATGGCAGTCGTGGCTTGGAGGGCCTTTGCACCACGTCATATTGTGCACTAGTTGCACCCATTCCTGAACTGAGGGGCCTTACTCACGGTTACTCATACCTTGGTCACCTCCCAGTTGGATTACTGCTATGTGCTCTACATTGGGCTGCCCTTGAAGAGTATCTGGAAACTTTAGCTGGTGCAGAATGCGGCAGCATGGGCAGTTATGTGTGTTTCTGGCAGAACACATTACACCTCTGCTTTGTGAGCTGCATTGGTTGTCTGTTTCCGGGTCCGATTCAAGGTGCTGGTGTTGACCTTTAAAACCTTTTATAGGACCAGGTTATTTAAGGGACCACTTCTCCCCGATTTTATCTGCCTCTCCCACTAGATCTAACAGAGTGGGTAAGTTACGGGTTCTGTTGTCTAGGGAGCTACGTTTGGTGGGCCCTAGGCAGCGGGCCTTTTCTGCTGGGGCGCCTGCATTGTGGAACCTTCCCCCCACCCCCAGAAATGAGATTGGCCTCATCACTCCTGAATTTTTGAAGATCCCTCAAGACCTGGTTATGTCAGCAGGCCTGGGGACCCTAGGGGACAGGTAAACTAGTGAGGTGGCTCTATTATTAACATCCCTTCACCTATTATTTTCTTTTCCTGTCTTAGTTTTGTTTTTGTCATTTTTAATGTTTTTTTTTAATAATTACAATATAATGGTTTTATGTAATGAAATGTTTATATATTTATTGTTTTATTGGACTGTTGTATGCCACCCAGAATCACTTTTTGTGAGATGGGCAGCCATATAAATTTGATTAATAAATAAATAAATACATCCAAATTGGAGAGGACAGCATTCTGCTCTCCATCCTATTTTCAGCATTTCAGAGAGTCACTAATTTGCTAGTCAAAGCTATATAAGCACTTTGTATAACATACTCACCTGATTTACATGTGGGGTTATCTGACAGTCCTTCCTGAGCTGCTCCAAGTGCTCAATAAGAAAGTTGCTTACGCCGATCGACTTGCATATGCCTTAATAAAAACAGAAAAGGAAGTACACACGTGTAACCATTTGTCATCGTTTTCTACAACAAACCAAAAGCACAGTGGTTTTAACCTTCTGATGCAGCCCAAGGAATGCTGAACTTAAAGACAGAGGTTCCAGCTTGACCACTTTTTCTCAAATGACCAGACCAATGTTATATTTTAAAACTGGGGACTAAAATGCATAAAATAATAAATAAAAAAATAAAAAATAAAAAATAATAATAATAATATAATATAATAAAAAATAAAAAATAAAATAAAATGCATAAGGTGAAGGACAGAGATGAGCTTAAATGTTTGAAATCAAAGGATGGCCTAAATCTTTCTCTTGACGTTAAATTGCAGAGTCTGCACATAATTGCTGGGAATACATATTGATTCTGCATTTAATTTTGAATATGCTCTGTATAGGAGTTTCAGTAGTAAAAGTTATCTTGGCTGTGTCTCGGAAGCCTTAAGCAAATCACCCTGTTTCAGCTTTAGTCTTCTTCCTACCCCTCTTTTGATTTATAAGGCAAGAAGGATCAGCCTATTCATTTCAAGAATGATGAATTCACCATCAGCTAAAAAAACGTGAGGAAGAGCGATTACGTATACATCAATGTCTGTAGAACACTATGCTGAAAAACATCATGCGGAAGGGGTTGATTGTTGAAAATCCAACATGACAGCATTATCTAAGGATGCTGTCCAATCAAGATCCCTTTAGGAAGCAGTTTTATAATCTAAACACCCTGGGGATTCCCTAGTGGATTCACGTTCCAGGCTAAATTCTGGGAAAAGCTGATGTAGTGTAAGCAAAGAACAATTGGACTTCACCAGGTTGAAAAGGAGGAAATGGTGTTCTGAGCAGTGTGCCAAAAACTAGAGAAAAGTGGAACACTGATAGAATAGGGTATAAGTAAAAAAAAAACTTCAGGGACAAACAGTTCAAACAGACTTCCGACTCCTTCCAGGTTACTACTACAAAAAAAGTTGTTATATAACTTTTTTTTTTTTTTAAATGTAACTATGTTTAAGAAGTCAAGGATTAAGAGCATGGAGTGCACAGATTTTATATTGAGCTTTTCCATTTCTGCTCCTGCCTGCCACTATAATACCCAAGTACCTGAGATCATAATGCTTTCCAAAATAAATACAAATGAGGATTTGTGCAGGCATGTACACGTGTGAAAGGGAACATACAGTGGGGCAAAAAAGTATTTAGTCAGCCACCAATTGTGCAAGTTCTCCCACTTAAAAAGATGAGAGAGGCCTGTAATTTTCATCATAGGTATACCTCAACTATGAGAGACTAAATGAGGAAAAAAATCCAGAAAATCACATTGTCTGATTTTTAAAGAATTTATTTGCAAATCGTGGTGGAAAATAAGTATTTGGTCACCTACAAACAAGCAAGATGTCTGGCTCTCACAGACCTGTAACTACTTCTTTAAGGGGCTCCTCTGTCCTCCACTCGTTACCTGTAGTAATGGCACCCGTTTGACCTTGTTATCAGAATAAAAGACACCTGTCCACAACCTCAAACAGACACACTCCAAACTCCACTATGGCCAAGACCAAAGAGCTGTCCAAGGAC